ACACAGACACAGACACAGACACAGACACAGACACAGACACAGACACAGACACAGACACACACACACACACACTTAAAAGTAAATAAAAAATGGAACTTTTTTAAATTATACAATCAACAAGGCAAGTTTTTTCAAATAAAAGACTTAGATTGGGCAGGAGAACTGGTCCTGTTCCTCACTGGTTGGGTCACTCAGGAAAGTGGGCCCTAGACCTTGCCTGGGCAACACAGTGGAGCTGACCCTGCTGGTGAAGGTATGCGTGAGCCACACCCACCTCACTGGCTCTGGCCCTTGCAGGCTGCAACACTTGGGGAACTGGCTGGGGCAGACCTCACCCTGACAGTGTGTATGTTGGGGAGAGCTTGACAGGCAGACCAACTCAGCTTTCACCGAGGCACAGATCCACAACTCTGACCTGATCCACTCCAACATTTACCCCATCTAGGAACTGGAGCTGAAGCAGGCCATTCCTCAAGATTCAAAGCTGCAGGATCTCCAGGCACAAGGCATCAAAAGGATATCCTAGTGGCATCCCAGCGAGGATCCCTTATTGATACTATAGCTGAAGCCAGAGGCCTCAAACAAGACCAACAGTCACAGCAATGAGTGTTTACGTGTAAAAGGGTGCACAGGGAGACACACTATAGCTTCCAAAAGACTTCTGTTTGTTTTGATTTTTTTTTTTAATTTTATTTTGAGGGAGGAGGTGGCAAGGGTGGAGGATAGATACAGAGGAACTGGAAGACAAGTGGGGCTGGGGAGCATTAGATGAAATCACAAGGACTCGGTCAAAAGTTACAAACAAACAAGCAAACAAACAAACAAAAACTAGATTTAAACTTCAATTTACTATCACCCAGAAAAATGTTCAACCAATCAGAGCAGGAGTTGTACATACTTAATAACTTTACAGATCCTACAGACCCCTTACACAGAGGTAGTATAGCAGTAATTAAAAGTTTACAGGTACCTGAAAAAATACTATTTTTAAAAAGTAAAAGCAAGACATATGTTATAACGCAAAGATCACAGAATAAAGGATATGTATTAGTCATGTACTTTTTTATATCACTCATTATTTTGTTGATTACTTACACATTTGAGCAGTTTAATTTCATCCAAGGCTGTCTCTGTATAATGCTGGGCACTTTTTACAACTTTCATTGCAACAAATCTTTTCCCTCTTTAGATTAAAAAAAAAAAAAGCAGTTATTTATATTGTCAATGTAAGAAGTGACTGTTACAGTGAGATGTAGCCACTTAGTAGCCAACAGACTGAAGCTTTCAGGAAGCTTTCCCTTAAAATAGTATGGGGGGGGGGCATCCCACAAAGTTGTCCTCATGCTGTGGCAACTGCACCATTACACACCCACACATGCATCATGTACACATATATACAGCAATAACATTTAGTCAAAAGTAGCATTTTCCAAGTTTGGGCAACACAAATAAGTGTTCATGGGTTAGACAATGTCTTTTATGTTTGTTGTTTCAATTCTAATAAACATAGGATAGACAAGAAAACTGTCAGCTAACACAGACACTAAGGGAAAAGTATTCCTTTATAATATTTGTTCATGTATGTTCATGCACACACATACAACTACACATGAATATATGTGCTAAGCAACATGATGCTTCCTGCTTTGGGTCAATGTAGCTTTTAAATAATGTTACAGAATATTGAGTTGAAAGACCTATACATTTTCAATTTGTAGCTGATTTTTTTAATGACGTGAATTAACTAACAGAAAAGTAACACAGCCCTGATGTCAAGCAATTTTTAAAAACTGGCTCACAAACTACAATTAGCACTTTTTTTAAATATAAGCAAAGGCATGTAAGAATAGAGTGACGGTGACCGATCTAGTTAGCTGCAGGGTCTTGTGCTAAGCAGTGCCTCACATGCCACCAGGTAGCATGACCCTTGGCTACATCATCTTAAAAGCAGATGTGGTGGTTTGTCTATGCTTGGCCCAGGGAGTGGCCCAATCAAGAGTGTAGCAATGTTAGGGTGGGTGTGGCCTTGTTGGAGGAAGTGAGTCACTGTGGGGGTGGGCTCTGAGATCCTATGCTCAAGATCTGCTCACTTTGGAAGAGAGAGTCGGCTCCTGGCTGCCTTCAGATTAAGATGTAGATCTCTCAGCTCCTGCTCCTGTGCCATGCCTGGCTGCATGCTGCCATGCTTCCCACTGTAATGATGAAGGACTGAACGAACCTCTGAACCTGTAGGTCAGTCCCAACTAAATGTTGTCCTTTATAAAAGGTGCCATGATCATGGTGTCTCTTCATAGCAGCAAAACCTCAAGACAGCAGATGTACAGCCAAGCACCACTCCAGAGCACTTAATGACAAAGCACACTTACTGCATATCCCAGCACAGCCAGACGGTAGAAAAGTGTCCCCATCCTAACTTCCTAATAACATGATATCGGCCATTGAAGAGGTCTCCAATTTTCACTGGATGATAGCCACCTGAAAAAGAAAATTAAACATCTCAGGAACACAGCAATGCATCTTGTCACTCCCTTCGTCAGCCCCTAATGTCCTTAAAGGAAGCACTAAATAACAATCAGATTAAAGATTACTCTTTTAGAAGTAAAAAAAAATCCTATAAATTCTCATTAGAATGTTTTTTGCTTATTTTAATAAAATTTCAAACAAAACATGTAGAGCTCTGACAGTTGACAGTTTGTAATTAAGTCAAGGTATGCAGACCTATGTACATCAACTCGCCATTTAAATACTGCTTTCTTTAAAAAACTAAAAATTTTCTGTGCATATCAGGAAACCAGCTGAGTTAGATTTCAGCTCTGCATAACTTTGTATACACCAACAGTTTATGTATAACTGTGTACTTTGCATCTTAATTATTCCCCAGTCAGCCCTGTTGCTCTCAATCCTCTTCCTCCAACCGGCACTCTTCCAGGAACCATGTCACAACAGTCTTTTGAGCAACAGTAGGGTACAGAGTTCAGATGCTGTCAAGGGAGGGAGGATGCCGCACTGACACCAGGGTAAACAACAACAAGAACATTTGCGTTAGATTGTGTCCTCCCTCCTCAACCCCTTTTAAAAAAAAAATTTTTTTTTTTTTACCTGCCTCTGGCTTCTAAGGGATAGGATTAAAGGCAAGCCCAACCACACCCAGCTTGCCTCAAGTTTTAAGTAAACTAGGCTAAATAGCGGTATTGTGGTATCACTTTTATGACAGGTAAGAAATGGTCTAGAAGGACAAGAGGCTGGCCATAGACAACCCTGATATAAACTCATCCATCACCTAGTCTTAGTCTAGAGAAGCACTGAGCAGCTTGGTTACAAGTCCCATGCTCCTTAAGTGCACATCAGTGCTAACACTGATGTCTCTAGGTACAGCAATGTCATGTTGGCAAACCACCACCACTAGTGCATGTTTTCATTCAAGTCCTCAGACGCCAGTGTGTGCATCTGTGAACGGAGCTCATGCAGGTGACACAGGTCCTGGGTTCTATGGGCCCTAGACCTAGGGTCTAGACTCCTGAGAGCACACTGGAAAATATCAAATATCTTGAAAAACAGACCAATTATACAAGAGCAGCACAGAAACATTTTTTTAAAACAAAGAAAAACACACTAAAAGCATAAAATAGTTAACATTTTTCTAAAGAGGTAGCATATAATATTTCAGATCTATGTATTCTCAGATCCTAACTTCTAGACTTCTAGGTTTCTTCATGAAACAAGGGTCTCTCTGCTGACAAAAACCACCTTCATTCTCTCAAGAGGAAACCCTAACAGGGCACCTCTCCTCAACATACTATGCAGAGGGCCCACAATGAGGAGGCAATGACAGAAGATGGATTTGATGACTACATTTCTCCTGCATGCCAGCCAGGCCAGCTCTAACATACTGTTAGCATGATAAGATTTCAAAAAAATCCCCTTCCCTCTGCCTAGGAAAAAAATCCACATCTACTTAGGTAAGCCAATCAAAAGTTCAAAACCCATGATATAAAACAGCCTGAATTTTCAGCAGTGTCTTTATCTCCTAATTCAAATAATATTAGCTATTATTCCTTTTTAGGAATTTCTCTGCTCTCTGATTGTGGTATTTCTTTATGCTAAAAGCTTTCAAAAGGCCGAGGAAATATTACACAATTGTCATTAACATACACGTTTTAAGAAAGGCAGGGCTAGATCTGGTCAGATGGCTCAGCAGTCAAGAGCACTGGGTGCTCCTGTAGAGGACCCAGGCTCAATTCTCAGCACGTACATGGTTGCTCACAGCTCCTGTAACTATAGTTCTAGAAGATCTGATTCTCTCTTATGATATCCATGGGCACCAGACACACATATGGTACACAGACATACATGAAGGCAAAACATCCAGACACATAAAATAAAAATAAATACATCTTGAAAAGAAAGAAAGAGCCGGGCGGTGGTGGCGCACGCCTTTAATCCCAGCACTTGGGAGGCAGAGACAGGCGGATTTCTGAGTTCAAGGCCAGCCTGGTCTACAGAGTGAGTTCCAGGACAGCCAGGGCTATACAGAGAAACTCTGTCTCGAAAAACCAAAAAAAGAAAAAAGGAAAAAAGAAAAAAGAAGAAAAAGAAAAAAAAGAAAAGAAAGAAAGGAGTATCGGGGAAAGAAACTCACTCCATGTAAGGTAACATGGCTCTGTGTCGGTGGAGACTCAATACTTTCAATACTTCCCCGACACTAAATCAGTGAAATATAACAGTCAGAAAATCAGTAAGGATATGAAGATTGAACATACTATGGATCAACCTGACTCAGTTGACACTTACAAAATGCATTCAGTAATATTCTCAGGGGCATATAGACTATTGGTCAAAAGAGATAATATACTAGGTCATAAAACATTTGAATTAAAAAAAAATTCCAGTCACATAAACAACATCCTCAGACCACATGGTATTTATTAAGAACCAACAGGAATTTAAAATGAACCAAAAACTAAAAACTAACTGAAACCCTCCAAACTAATATGTAATTTAAAGAAGAAATCTGACAGAAGCTAGGTACTGTGGCTCATGCTTGCAATGCTAACACAGACTGAAGGATCACCCACTGCAAGGTCAAGTCCTGCCTAGTCTACAAAGCCAGTGCTGGGTCAACCAGGGCTGCATATGGAGACCATCTCAAAGAAAGAAACACCCCACCATACACGAACGAACACACACACACACACAAACCAAAACCAAGATCAGGTGTGGAGACTCATGCTTATAATCCTAGCACTTGGAGAAGGTCCTCTTTGAGTTCAAGTCCCCACTATTTATTGCATTATAGGCCTGTCTAGACATTAGAATAAAACCTAGTATCAAACAAACAAAAATGTCAAGATATTTTATCTACCTCAAGATAAAAAGCATGATATATCAATGTGAAATGCTGCTGAAGCACAAAATCTGTGATGTTATATACCTGTACTAACGATCCAAAACCAACTTTTGCCTAAAAAAACTGGAAAAAGCAGTGCAAATGAGCCTAAAGTAAACCAAAGAAAGAACACAATATGACCTAAAATCTACGAAATGAGAAACAATAAACAATGAAAAGGATTATTTGAGAAAACAAAACCAATGTATTTCTGACCAAGATAATAAGGGGAAATTGAAAAACTAAGGAAAGAAACACAAGTAACAAGCATGAGGTATATAGTAGAGCCGACTTCCCCAAATACCCTGCAAATGTGGAAAGGACACGGAACATAAGCATACACATGGCACCGACACAAGGAACACACACACACACACACACACACGAGATGGCTACACATCTTTAATGACACAAATAGTGAAATTTAACAACAAAAACCCCAATACCTCAATAATCCCATACTTACTTTTAATTTGATTTCATTAAACACACTATGATAAAAAGTGCATAGTGGCTAGGTGTGCATACCTGCAATCCCAGTACTTGGGAGGATGAGGCAGGTTTGAGGCTAGTCTCTGCTATACAGCAAGACACTGTCTTTAAAAAAACAAAAAACAAAAAGGGGGGGGGGGAATGGCATAGTGCAATTTTCTAAACATTACAAAAGATATAGTACTGGTTCTTATAATCTTTTCCTGAAGATCACAAAAGAGAAAACACCTCCAATGTGAGGTGCTTGCCAACTGCACTGTATATACTTATTTTTAAACATTAAGTATGTGAAGTATAGAAGGCAAGTGACAGCTCCTTCTCCTGATGATAAACACCAACAAAGCACACATCTAAGTAAAATCCTGACATCTAAGTATTTCCTGACAGAAGTATTCCCTGGCTCAGGTAAAGTTTCTTTTCCTGTGCTTTTCTTATACACCTCCATGAAGTCATCCTCTGTTCTGTTATGCAACACAACATAATACATTTGTTACGTATTCCCCCTTCTGTTCCCGAAGAGATGGCAAACTCTTAGGAGAACAAGCACAGGCTTTCTATAAAGACAGTCTCGTCCGTGGCTTTTACATAGTACTTGGACCATGAGAGACAGAACATACAGTAAGCATAGACATGGATAAAAAGGAGGGTGGTTTTGTTACATAAAACAGCAAGTGCAGAGTGTGCCTCTCCTTTTAAATATAAGTAAAAATCAGGCTTAGTGCCCTGTGTCTTTAATTGTAGCACTTGGAATGCAGAGAGAAGTAGAGCTCAAAACTAGCCTTAGTCTATACAGCGAATAGTTCGGGTCAGCCAGGACTATACCAATGAGACAGGCAGGCAGGCAGGCAGGCAAGCAAGCAAGCAAGCAAGATCAAAATTTTCTAGGTTACTATTGTAACAAAGGAAGAGAGAGGAAAGCCTCATGAAGAAAAGCATGGAGATTGGTTTAAGTGGAGTTTTACATTAAGAAAAAGAGAAAAAGAATGGAGTGTTGGCTCAGTGGTTAAGGATACTACCCGCTCTTCCAGAGGATCCAGGTTCAATTCCCAATACCCACATGGCAAGCCCACAATTGTCTGTAACTCCAGTTCCAGGAAATTTGACAACCTCACACAGATAAACGTGCAGTCAAAACACAAATGTGTATAAAAATAAAAACAAATAAACCTTTTTTAAAAAGAGAAAGAAAGAAAAGAAAAGGAGGAAGTCACAGGTCTAGCTGAGAAGATCCTTTCCAATTATACAAGAGTTTGGACCTTGCTTTTTGTGGGGAGAAATTAACAAAGTATATCCTCTACACTATTTCTTCCATCTAGACAAAGAGTACCTAATTTAAATGTACCTCAAGTAGTATTATCCAATACTACTGCTAAGAAAACTGCAGGACATGTTATTTTATCAGACTGCACATTTTAAATGTACGGTACTTAAAGAACACAGAAAATGCAGTGAGTGAGCTGTGACCTTACAAGATTTGTGGGAGCCATGGAGACCTTCCCAAACCATTAAGATCTCTCAGGCTCTGTCTTTATGAATTAGGTGCAGACATGAGACAAAACTAAACAAACAACAGTTTTTTCTATATGTCATTGTAATA